ACGCAGCAATACGAGTACAGGTAACCCGTCAAAACAATCGTTTCGCGCTCACGTATAAACTGAATGCGTGTGACGTGTACTGTTCGACCATGAAAAGAACAATGCATTTTTTTTTTAAATAACGAATTTATTGTCTCAGCTGCCCATGCTTCTAAAACTCCGCAGCTGATGATTTGATGCTGCTAAAAAATGAAAAATTTTTAAGTGCCCGAGGGGATGTAAGCTTTTAAATGTAATTTTGAAAAGCATACGTCTTTGACGCCACATATAACCATTTCTGCGTTGCATTTCCTCACCAGTGCCTGTGACATACCTTGCCGCAACTGGTAATGACACGTTTGCTTCAGCCCTTCATCACTAAACAATGTCTGGTTTAAGTAAAAAATGCATGCAAACAAATATAAAAGTTCGAAAACTAGAAGCAGGGGATCCGCAAGCTGCCCGCACGCCAGGCAGGAGTGCCTTTGTACGGAGTTACACTACCTCCTCGCAATCAATAAAAAGGCTAAGCAGAAGCACGGCCGGCCACAGTTCGTGCTTAGGTTACACGGCAGTTTACTTCATTCCAATAAATATTACCTTGTTTCGTTTTCAAAATGCACAAGCAGCGGCAAAACGTTGAATATAGCAGGCGGTAGCGCAGTGAATGAATGCATCCAATGTGCATGCAAATAATTCAGAGTACATTTGAATGTTACCAGAGCCTGCAAATGGAAATACATCCATACTTCTTCCAAAACAACCTGGTCATGCTAGCAACGATAAAGACAATGCTTAGCTCAAGCACTATCAGGGGCAAAAAAAAATGTAGCTAGGCAAAAATAGAGCTCGCAACAACCAGAATGTGGTATTAATCAATTCCCCACTGTTATATTTTTCAATTGATATTAGCAAGACTTCAGCACATGTTACTTAATACAAAATTATTTAGAACAATGTTGCATTTCTCCTCGAATTTGCTACCCAACCGATGTCAGCCGAACTTCAAACCCAGCATGTCACCAAGCAATACGCCGAACAGGCGGTGGATACCGGCTGGAGGTACACTCAGAAGGAAGGGGCTGACAGAGTTGCGGGGAACGTGCTGAAGCATCTCAGTAATATCGTCAGCATAACGTTCCTCGACCCCACGGTCTTAACATCCTTTTCTTTTCGCTCGTCTACCTTTTACTATGGTCTTATACCATCCGACATATACTGATCATATACACGGAGGGTGGACGGGTGCACTGATAGTTTCCATTTCTAACCGCATGCTGCATTCGGCCAGCTAAGGGATGAAACAGAAGACTGCATCCAAACATGTCTTCTCGCACACGATACATAGACTGATCCCTTATCTCCAACTCTATTATTTATGAATTAAAGAAACACAGCGTAGCACAATTTCTTCTACAAGAATATTTACCTTTCTGCGTCCATTGCCTTCGCCAGATGCTTGATCAGTACCATTCACCCAGCAATCACCAAATTTTCTTTTAACACCACTCTTTGCCGCAGCAACTTCGGCCCACAAAAGTTCTAGCTGGAACGTGGCAGTTTCATAGAACCTAACAAATTCGCCGGAAAACAGGTGCAATTACGCGCCCACTTGTCTGATTTCTTGTAACATCCGAAGGACTAGATTTACAAACGCTTAAGAACCTTAAATCTTAACGACAACCGGCGCAAAAACTCACAGAAACAGAAAGCTGCCCAGTTCCTACGATGCAACAAACCTCAACAATTGTGAAATCAAAAATGTCGAGTTGGAACTTACTTTCCCATTAATTTCACCCATTGCATCCTTGACTTTCATCGGCTGAAGTTTTTTAGGAACTCTTCCATCAATGTAGCAATGCTCAAAATCAAACCAAACTACCGTAGCAATAGTTATACCAATACGCTCACGTAGGTTTTGATACGATTCTTCCATGGATCCTAAGCACTTCGAGAAGAGCCGATTCCACAATTCAATAACGCGCCATTCACACTGATTGAGAGAGCTCTGCACGAAGTACATTCGACTGAAAGCAAACCACTTCTGATGGCAAACTGACGCAAAAAAAAAAAGCTAAACAAGAGGGGAGAGGATGAAGGCAAGTTGCAGCGAATAAGGGAAGCACGTTTCGCCACCCCTGGTCGTAGGCACAATTTCACTCGATGAGGGCTCGTCCTCGCCAGATGGTGATAAACATAAGCAAAAAGAAATTATGTTACAGTCAAAAACACCACTCTACGTGAAGTGTCAGGGCACGCAAGGTGTGAGCGGCAGCATTGTGTAGCAACAAACAGTTCCGATGACCGCTTGTTCTTTCGAACATAGCTTCTGGCAGATAGTATTTTACAAGGAAGCGAGCGCGTGAACATGGGTTTTTGCGACTAACGTAAGCATGCGTAAATGAGCTTCTCGCCATTCGTCCATCTTCTGTTCAAATAAAAAAAAAAAAAACTTCAATCAAAGCGGTAAAATTCGCAAAGCTCTAAGAATATGCAGCTGGTTCCAGGCGCATTTTCTAATGCTCAACAAGATACTGTGCCTAAAGCCAATGGTCTAAGGCTCGGAAAGGTGGAAAACGGAGTTCCGATCAGTGGTTCTACACATATCAGGTCTGCTCCGATAAGTATGCATATCCGATTTCAGATTATAATCCGCAGCTGGTTGGAGGAACATAATCAATCAAACAGGCCCAAGCCTAAGCATAGCTGAGAGTTTATCAGTTCATGCACCTCGTATATTTACAGCACTTGCAGCTCATATCCATAGTGAACAAGATATTAACACATATGCGCATAAACGGGCCATCAAGCGTTGTTCAGTGATGCAAGAACACATAAACTTACGTTGTAGAATGGAAGCTGCTGCCGGTGGGCTTTAGACAGAGCTCAAAAAGCATGTCAATGACCCAGTTCAGTGCCCTCGGGTCCGGTATGCTAAAAATGGTCGCTAAAGCAGTGCCCCAATTTTTGGCATTCTCCGTTTTCACTGTTTCCAGACAGCCAATGAGTAACGGCTTAAGCCATTTCGCCATAGCCGAAATCTTGTCAAATGTCCACAGTTTGCTTCCGCTTATTAGTCCAGCAACCATTTCCGCTGCTAATCGTTGCTCGCCCTCCTGCAACAGAATAACTTGTACCCACTGTTCAAAAGTAGCAAAATGGCTCTTTTTGGCCTGCGACACAAGCCAGTGCTCCGATAGATAGGTGGGGCGGGCACGGCAATATCGTAGTTATAAAAGAGCGAATGCGGTGAATGTGGCGTATCAGCGGACGACATGTGCTAGGAAGAGAACGATTACTGGGTTGCCTCCTACAAAACGATGGGTATGCCACAATGAATGCAGATATTAAGATAAACACACTGCGCTCAAATGATAATTTCGTAGTTCTGAGCTAACATTACGAGCAAGCAGAGCTACCGGAAGTTTTCGCACGACTCAGTGCTACTATAAAGCATGCTTCTGCTCAAACCACAGATGTTGCCGTCTTTGTGAGAAAAAAATTTCCGGATTTCGCATAAAATTATCTCGGAAACCAGCTGCTATGAAGACCACAGCATGACAATGATCAAAAATCTTAGAGTTTAGAATCGCAAAACTAGCTATAAAGTGCACTGGGCTTTAGTCTCCACTGTAAACAAAATGCTCAACCTGAGAACAAGACCAGCTGCGAAAAAAAAAGAACGCTACCTTATCACTCGCAATTAGAATTTTCAAATGTTCCTTGAAAACTGGAAGAAGGATGTCGTTGTAGTTTCGGAAGATGCCCTGAAATCATGAATTTTGGTTCCGACAACCGAGATGAAAACAACTGCACTCTTTTGCCGCACAACACATTCAAAAATATTAAACAATCAGCGTAAAAAAAAAAAAAAAAATCGGAGCAACATGCTAAACTATGCTTGAGACTGAAGCACAAAAAAGGGGAGACCGGGCAAGAAAGAATAAGTGGACTCAGTGTGACGCGACTACAGAACGGGAACTGTTTAGTTTCCTTGTTTTTACTCCCAACAGTTTTTGAAATTTTACTGCTAAAACTAAAACTCACGCACTGGCATTATCATTGCCTTCGCTAAATTTCTTTTTTGCGTCATTTAATAGAAGTTTAATTGTCTTTCTCCTTTCCGTAGTACTGCCTAGACACTTCGAGCAGAACCACTCAAAGAATAGCGCAAGCAATATGCGCATTTGGAGTACCTGGTAATCTTCTTACTTTCATACTTTCCGTTCTAAACGTTCTACAGGAGAATCCAAGAAAGAGAAAAAGAGCGAGTGACGAACATAGAATAAGCTGAACGTGATGGGATTGAAAAGATCCTCGGATTTTTTCTCCTCAACACTCAAAAGAGTGCGCAATTTAACGGCATATTCTTCATCACGGAAAATCTCCACAATAAAGCGTTCGATACCATCCAGCTCATTAAAATTTCTATTCAGCGCTTTCTGTTCACTAATCGGCGCATATATTTTCATCTCTCTGAAAAAAGCAAGCCCATAATTTGTTTTCCTTTAAAGTCCAGACCTCGACCGCACAAAAGTGCTAGGCTAAAATTAGCTTGTAA